GATTTAATGGCGAAGGCGCATAGCCTGAGTTCCGGTTCAACTGTTGTTGAACTTTCTGGTGTAGGCGCATAGCCTGTCTTGGTTCAACCGTAGTTGAACTTTTTGGCGAAGGCGCATAGCCTTGATTTAATGGCGAAGGCGCATAGCCTGAGTTCCGGTTCAACTGTTGTTGAACTTTCTGGTGTAGGCGCATAGCCTGTCTTGGTTCAACCGTAGTTGAACTTTTTGGCGAAGGCGCATAGCCTTGATTTAATGGCGAAGGCGCATAGCCTGAGTTCCGGTTCAACTGTTGTTGAACTTGGTCGATTTTGACGGCGAAGGCTCATGGCCTGAGTCCCGGTTCAAATGTTGTTGAAATTTTTTGGTTCGTGGGTTTTTGGGAGCTGAAGCTCGGTTTTGATTCGAGATCTTGAGCAGCTTAATCGTTATCTTCCCAACCGGGGTATGTAGGCTGTCTCGAAGCGATTCTCGATTTGAGATTCCCCCGCGCTGGTTTCCGGCTGGAGCCCTTATCAGGGATGTGGGAGATCTCTTACGAAGATTCTCCCCAAAAGAAGGGGGGGCGTTGTTGCTTCTTCTTGTTTGCACCATTCGATAGATGAGAGACAGAGGAACTGGACCTCGATTCGAGATCTTCGAGTTTCATCAGCCTGATATGCCGCTTTGGCTTGTTTATGCGGTGTTGTTCTTCCTTTTCCGGCGTTTCTTTCCTTTTGGTCCATAGAAGAACTACACGATTTTGCTATGAAATCCCCACAGACGGCGCCAAATTGTTTGCTCAAAAGTTATTACATATCTTGTGAGTGTAAAACAATATAAATAATTACGAAAAATCATAGCAAATTGTAATAATCCGTTGAATGAAAGAAACGAGAATAAGTGCTCAGAATTAGGGGGAGAAACATTCGAAACCTTTATTGATAATATTTATTTGGTCTGCCTCTCCAAGAAGAGGTTCAGAGCCTTACAATGGTGTTTTCTCTTCTCATAAGATGGGTATATTTTTCCCTTCTCTCTCCTGTCTATAGTGGTGAAGAAGCAGCCCCCCTTTCTAGGGCTTCCACTCTTAATATTTATAGATGTGAGCTTCGTGAGCTGGCAATAAATGGCCATAGCCACGCTGAGGTTCCGTCCCCATGGGGAAATGAATGGGCCGTGCCCTCGTAGATTAAATCGGACAAGAGTCGAATCCTCTTATGAATAAGTGGCCATACCACTTATTAATTATGAATTAGCTCAAGACGAGATTAACTCCGTTAATTACCGTGAGGTCAGATTCTGACCCATACATATATATATGACAATAGTTATGTTACTTTGCAGATTTTTGATTATTCTCTTTATTTATCTTACCTAAATTTTCAAGTCATAGCAAAATGAACAGATCTTCTTATCAAATTCACATTAATTTGGATTATTTGCACCATATGACCATTTTTTATGCCTCTTTTAATCTTGTCCCTCGTTAGTCTAGCAGGCTAAGTTTCAGCTTAAAATAGAGGAATTTTCAGAAATCACTATAGTTCAGTGTCTATTAATTTGCTATAGCTACAATATCTATATTTACTGGCCGTAGCTACAATTTCGTTGCTACCCGACTGTATTTGATGTATTCGCGCGACTGTATTTAAAAATACAATAAGGTAATTCGCCTAATAAATAGGGATTACAGCATAAGATTTATTTTGTTTTTGGAAGACAATTTTAGCACACTGGACTAACATGAGACAAATTTATGCAGTGGCCCCAAAAAATGGTCATTTGTGCAAATGGCCATATTGATTAGCATGAAAAATTCCTCATTAGTTCAGTCGGCTAAATTTTGGCTTTAAAAATACTATTGAGAATTTATGAGGGAAAAAAAAGTAGTGGGAGATATAGAAAGTGAAAGACTTACCTCAATGCGTTTAATTGCTGGTGAATAAACATGAATTTCCGAAATATACTCTGCAGATAAATTTCCAGCATATAAACAAGCACCAATCCCTCGAGGCCGTGCTCTAATATATGTTGTAAGAATTTCATTTCTTGGAGTTGTCTCAATTGATTTGAAGAAAAATACATGAGGAGCTTCACAAGGATCCAAAGAAGGATTTCTAACATCAAACATATAATTTGGTGGATTAGGACTTTTTTGCCATGTTTTAAATGTTTCAATAGGTCTTTGAATCCAACTTCTAGGCATAATTTTTTCATAAATATGAGCTGAATATCCCCAAGAAACTGAAAATGTCCAATTACTTGATCTTTTGTGGCAAATGGTTTGTTGTAACAATCTTGATTGATCATAATTTGCAGCATTTAAGAGGTGGAAAATTGATTGGGAACGATCCATTGATGGAAAAATTGGATCAATCATGTCAAAATGGTGAAGGGACATTAATAAAGATTTTGGATGAGATGATAGAAATCCTGATATATCACCACGTAAATCAATCTGCAAGTTATAAACATCCAAATATTATTTAAGGGAAAAGAAAAAAATGCATACTTTATCTAATTAGTTGATAAGACATATCTTGCCAATTACACTGACAGTGTAAAAAGTGAAGGAAAAAAAAAGAGAAATAATAGGGCGGAGTTAGAACACAGGTTATGGGTTCTTGCGAAACGAGTCATTTTAATTCAAACCCTATATTTGTCTTAAAAATCTATTGCATATGTATAAATTAATCAATTTAAAACTCGGTAACTTCAACGGACTAAAATTTCAAACTCATAAACTTCAAATTCTGGTTTTGCCTCTAACCGTGACAATATGTCAACAATTCTTGTAAAAAAAAAAAAAAAAATCTGCTTACGCCACTATTAAAAGGCTTTATATTACCATAAGGATATAGTCGTGATGTTCCTTCATGACCGGCGTTTTTAATATGGAGGTGAATTATGTGAGGGTTTTTAAGAATATAAGAAAAAATCTTCTTTTTCTATCTATTGATGAGACAACTATTTTTATTCTTGAATTTTTTTTGTTCGAAGCTCAAGAGAAAGGACAGAAATTGCTGAGTAAATTAAATTTCTTTGTTTTTTTTTGGGAAGAAATTAACATACCTGATGAATACCTTGAAGAGGAGAAAGATTGACACCAATATCAGCAATACAAGTCATTGTAGTTTTATCAGCAGCATTCAAATAATTATATCTCTTAAGACAATTAATCATATCTTTTGCTAATGCTTTAGCCAAAGGATAACTCAATATAAATCCAGCACCACCAAAACCTTGATTAAATGAGTACCAATAATTCGACAATATAAACTCCGAGTGCCCACCAAAATAATAATACTTCGTATGATCATATTGCGCGAGAATATCAACCATATTATCCACGAAAAATACAGAATCGTCGTCCCCCATAACTAACCATCTTAAACCTTCATGTTCTTCTCTAAACACCTCCATAATCCCATGGACTAATCTTAAAACTGTTGGATCAACATGTTTTGTTTCCTCAACAAGTTTTACAACATTATCTGATATTTTATAAGGTGGTGAATTTATTGACCAAGGTAAAAGTTCATCTTTAGGAGGAAAATCTAGTAAAAGATATCCTTTTGTAATATTTGGTCTCCACCAAGATTCAATATAGGATTTTCTATGATGCCATGCTTTTTCTGACCCTAAAAGTCCAAAAACAAGGTGGTTAATATTTGTGGCAATGTTGGTTTGTGCAACATTTGATTGAGAATTAAATGGTGCCCATTTTGATCTAAAAGAAGAGAAAAGTTGAGAAGATGGACAATTAGAGTCACTAAAAAAGATAATAAAGGTTATGTAAAGGATTAAACCACAAATAAGAACTGTTTTGGAAATGCTAATCACTTTAGATTTGTCAAATGAAGACATGTTTAAGAGACTAAGTAGAGAGAAGAAGAAGAAGAAGAAGAAGAGAGTGAGAAAATTGTGAAGTAATGCTCATTTGGTTCTTGGTATGAGTTATGTGCATGGAGTATTTATGTGAAAGTTTTAAATTAACAAAATTTAAGTTATATTACTGGCTGTAAATATTTTTACGCAACTAGTACAATTTTACCTTTAAGAAGGGAGTCTTGGAGCAATGGTAAAGTTATTTCCATGTTACCTATAGGTCACAGGTTCGAGCCGTGAAATCAATAATTGATATTTGCATCAGGGTAGGCTTCTTACATAACACCTTCTTAGGGTGGGGCACTTTTTTGGACCCTACGTGAACGCAAAATGCTTCGTGCATCGGGCTGCGCAGTACAATTTAACATATTTTAAAAGGTTGCTTGCGGTACTGTTCGAGTTACTAATTTTACTTATTATTAAAAATTAAAATCTTTATTATTTTTAAGTGAATTGACAATGTAATTTACATTATCAGTATATAAAAGTTAAAACTTAGGAAAAGGGTAATTAACCCTCCCTTCTGTCCTACTAACAATACACTCTTTTTCTTGGAAGCTCATTGTCTGTCTTAATATATTTGTCTTGTTAGCTTTCGACGAACTCTATGATTAAAACTAAGACGAACTTTAATATCTCTAATCCCAACACTCAAAACAATAGAAAAATACCTTTGCTAAAAGTTAAATATTGCATCTAATTGTAGTACTGTAGTTTCTGATGTCAACATATTCTTTCCCAAAAATACTCTCTCCGTCCCAATTTATGTAGTATCGTGGATCTCAGGAGTCAACCGAGTTTCTTTTTAGCGCAATTTTCTAATATGTTCTTTACATATTTTGAATTATTAATTAGTGTAACTCATAGTACTTTATATAGTTTTAAAATATGTGAAATTTATTTCAAAAATTAAAGATTATATGTCCGGAAAAAAATCAAGAAGATTGAATCCAAACGGTGTCACATAATTAAATAGGGATAGAAGAATAAGCATATTATAACTTCCATATCATAAAATAGTTGATAAGATCATGTGGAAAGGAAAGTGTGTATCGTAATTTTTCCCATATATATATATATATAAGAACTTACATTAAGTAGTATTAATCATGTTGCTTTAACTCGAAAAGTCTTAATCAATGAGTAAATAATTCAGTTCACCATGGATTAAACTAAATGTGGGAAAGCAAATAAGATTAACAAAATAATTAGCTAGGTCAGCATGTTCTTTTCTAATTAAAATATATACATTTTATAAGTGAAGGTTGCTTTATAGAGTTTCTAGACTCATGTGACATCTTCAAATTAAGCAAGTCAGTATTGTTTCTTTAAGCTGGAAATTTCTTCGAATTGAATCTTATTAACTCCTTTTCATAAGACTATCCACAGTGTATCACAAGATTATGATACTTAACAGAGAATTAATTGCTTCAAAAAGACTAATCCTCACATTAGCTGCTTAATTATTAGACTATTAACTTAGTCAGAGCGAGTCGGCTAATCCTACTGGCTATGAAACATTAACCCAGTAGTTACGCTAAACACAACTTTGTCCACTTTATAAACCAGCAACTAAATATCTAGTCAAATTAAATAGTGTAATACGAAGTACTGATTTTTTTTCATTGGTAAATAGTAACACTGATTTGTTTTTGAGTACAAACTAAACGACTCTCAAACACTTCGAAACAACAATAAAAAACACAGTATAATCCCACAAGTGGAATCTGAGGAGGATAGTGTAAGTAAGCGGACTCAAATATCTATTACTTTTTAGTAGCGGAAAACAAACTCTTTAAACACAAATGTGAACACTAGTATAAAGCATAATGAGATTGAACTGCAATGAGTCTGTTAATGTTCAAGAAAGAATATCATCAATACGTAATTAAGTGCGAAATAAACTGTGTGCTTATTATGAATCTGCTCAAATGAACGTTGCATTCGATTTACAATCAGAATCCAATCCTGTAGTTGGTACTTATCAAGTTCCAGAAAGGATAGAAAATTTCAAGCAAAGACTTAGCAGAAGATATCTCAACCCTAAAAGGAACATCTTAAGGTCTTCAAACTACGATACACGTATAAATACTTGATAGGCCTAAGAAGATGCTAGGTCTATAACCTCTGCTAGAGCGAATCATTTCCCGCTAACCTACTTCATGTCAAATGGTCTAACAAGCACACATCGACCTTTTGGAATTCAAAACCAAGCGGATGTACCTATGACTCAACTTCCTGAGCCTTTTGGATAGGAACTTCGTCGTGAGCCTTTTGAATTCCGATCAAACGAGCATAATCAACCCACCTGTAAACCGATTGTCGAGGTTTTGTTATGTGATTAATGAGTTGAAGGAATATGAGGTATTTGTAATGTTCGTGAAAGGAGTGAAGTATCTTACAATAGTGAACCCAAGAATGTGTTGCCTGTTCGCACAGCAAAGCACATTGCACTCAACAGCAACTTGTGTTGGTGTAGCATGGGCTCCAAAATCCGTTGCTCAATTACACCAGCCACTACTTGATATCTGAGAAAGAAGAAATGTGCCCATTAAATGTATTGGCAGATTTTGGTTTTTTTATTTTTATTTTTGTGTGTGTGTGTGTGTGTGTGGGGGGGGGGGGGGGGGGGGTG